AGCAGCTCTGACATGCTCTTCGGTGGACGCTTCAGAACTGAGAAAAGGAAGCTTGATGAACGGAGGCCACTCAAGAAGACGGTCATCGTCACCTTGTCGTCGGGTTCATCAACTTAGAGTACCTCCTCGTTAAAACGAGTGAGGTAACTCCTCAAGCTCTCCTCGCGGTCCTGCTTTATACTAAGCAGGTGCGTAACTGGCTTCTGGTGGCGACGCCCTCCAATGAAGTATGAGACGAATGATCTGCTAAGCTCGGCGAAAGAGGAAATAGAGGCGAGGGAGAGCTTAGCAAACCACTGTCGAGCAGACCCTTTTAACGTGGTTGGGAATGCCCTGCACATGATTTCGTCTGGTACGTGGTGCAATTGCATCAAGGTCTTGTAAGTGTCGAGGTGGTCCAGTGGATCCTTTGTTCCATCAAAGGTCTCCACATATGACATTTTGAACTTCTGAGGGAGGGGGTAGTTTGCTACATCAGGTTTGAAAGGCGTATCAGTACGCCTTACCAGGTGGTCAACAGTCTCGGGTCCCTGTGCCTTCATGGCATTGAAGACATCACCGAGTTGATTCTGTACCTCCTTTATCTTTTCGTCCCAATGATTGGGGGCTCATCTGAAATGATCATGGAAGTGGCTTCCATGCTCCATGCTTTGGTTTTCACCCTCATCCTCCTGGAGATAAGGGTCCTCTCCCTGGGAAGCAAGGGGAGGGGGAGATGGAGCTCCATCATGTTGGGCTTCCCGAAGTGGGGTGCCCAATGGGGTGCCCGGGCGTGGAGCAACAGGGCGTGGTGCTCCTTGATGTCCAGGACGTGGAGCTCCCTGGGGTGCTCTGTGTTGTGCACCTCCGTGGGGCCCTCCATGTTGTGCATCTCCGGGTGGTGCTCCACGTTGTGCACCTCCGTGTTGTGCTCCACCTTGGTGTCCTCCATGCTGTGCACCTCCGTGTGGTGCTCCTCCTTGTCCAGCAAGTATGAGTTGTAGTAACTGTTGGTTTTGAGCAACCAGTTGCTGCATGGTCTCCAATATTTGATGGGGATTCGGGGCTAGAGTATCCGGAACAGGGTTGATAGGCGGGGGAGCAACCTCCTCCTCTCTTGGAGGATTGTCTTCATGTTGGTTCATGGATCGAGTAGTGATCACCATTAGTTAATGGATGTAATGTTCAGGAGTGAGAATTTTGTCGAATTCCCACAGACGGCGCAAACTGATGATGTACAAAAATGGTTTTGCACACCACCTGTCAAGTACAGGTAATAAATGCAGTGAAATCAATGAAAAAATTAAAGAAGACACAATTTATAGTGGTTCGGTCAATTCGACCTACGTCCATTCTTCAATGGCTTCAGTTGCCGGGTATTTTATTAATTCAGAGGTATGGAGAATAGAGATACAAGTTTTGAGAGAATGGAGAATCAAAGAAGGAGTGGTCTCCGGTCGTCGGTCTGTCCTCTGTAAGTGTTGGTGGGGCGTGACCTTCATCTCTTCTATGGCTTCTCACAGATTGGGGCTACTTTATAACATCTAAGAGATCATTCTGGTGGAGATCATGACTTATCCTCAAGGCTACTTTATCGCAGCTAAGAGATCATTCTGGTGGAGATCATGACTTATCCTCAACAGAAGGAGGAGGTTGGGGAGCTCTTCATGAAACGTGGTCAAAGTTTGGACCGTTTCCTTCGGTGGTGCAGATAAGCTTCTCATACTCTCCTCTTGATGACGTGCTAAGCAAAAAGTCTAACCGGTCTTGGACTGTCTTGGACTTGGTAGATTCAAAATGAGGTTGGACTCCTCAACTGGAGTTGGACTTTAACACATAAATTGGACTATTTGGGCTTAACCCATCAAAAATTATATTATTGGTTTCATTTTTACACATTTATAATTTAACTTAATCTATGTTTTGATCCACTTTTTTTATCAACATAACACTGTTGTACATAATTAAGGTATTTAATTATAGCTTTTTGTGTTGTAAAATTTTCAAGTGACATGGATTGTGTCGTATGACTCTTTCGATAAATGGACACTCTTCAATTTTATAATTTATATTCATTTAATAAATAAATAGTATATGAATTAGATAATTTATATATATAATAAAATAACTTACAATTTAAATTTCAAAAAATAAACAAAATAATTTTTATTATTCGCAGTTGAGATTGTTTTAAATTTTATTTTAAAATTAGTCTAACGGCTAATATTAATACTTTAAATTTAATAAGAAAAATAAGCTCTTAAGGGTGTGTTTGAAGTGACTTTTTAAAAGTACTTTTAGAAATTAGTTTTCATAAATATTTTTTTTAAAAATAGTGTTTGAAATCACTCTACCACCACTTCTACCACCACCACCCCCACCACCACCGACGCCACCCACCCTAGCCGCCACCACCATTAACACCACCGTCGTCGCCACCACCACTACTGCTGTCACTGTTGTTGTCTCCATCACCCCTACCCTCACCACCACCACCTCTACTGCCTTCACCACTATCCCCACTATCACCGCCACCACCCCCACTGTCACTGCCATCGCCATCACCACCACCACCACTATCATTACCACTATTGTCGTCGCTGCCACCACCAAAACCATTGCTGCTGCCACCACGGTCATTGTCACCCACCATAACCATCACCGTCTCCTACTACCATTACTGTCGCCCACCACCTCTTACCTTTACTACAAACTGATGCTTAAATTGATTTATCTTTTATTTATGTTTGTGATTTAATTTTATATATGAATACAAATATATTTATTATTTATTATTTTTTATTATTCTGTGCCTCTAGACACAAACAATAACTAATATATATATATATATAATAAAACAGGAGTGTGTTTGAATTTTATTCCAGTCATATTTTTTTCCTCAAAATCATCACCAATCACTTACATCACCCATCATCTCTTTGTCAAACTCCAACGTCAAATCATATCACTCATTTCTATAACATGTTTAAACATTTAAATATTTTCTCCTTAAAAATATTACATCACTCATTTCTATAATACATTTAATCATTTAATATTTGATTAATTTGTAGTTAATATATTTTGAAAAAATTTAATATAGTGGGATCGATTTTTTGGACGCTTAAATTTTATATTTTATCGTGCCTTCAAGTACAGGTTATGACTAGTATATATATATGATAATTTTTGGTATCAACTTGTTAAAATTTGAAACGAAGTTATAAAAATCAACACGATTGTCAGTAGCATCTCCAACCAACATGATTGCCAATAGCATCTCCAACCTTAATTTAAATGTAGACTTAAATTTAAATTTGAGTCAAAATGGTTCAAAAACCTTATTCAACCTTGGACTCAAACTTATATTAAATCAAGACAAAACTTATTTTTGACCTAAATTGAAACAGACTCAAATTTTAAACCAAATTTCTAATGGTAACTTTTTTAACCTATACAAAATTAAAAGATTTCTTGGGCGGTTTATTCTTTGCCACTTCTTGCTAAAGGTATTCAAATTTTCGATTGACTGCAATTTTCTATCCTACCCCGACCTTACCCCTATTGTACTGAACGACTAACCGCAAAAATCGAGCAGGAATGTAGAAGAATTTTTGGTCTTTCGATTAAATAGGATAAGAATGTGGAATACCCATCAATTTCCGCATTCCTACCCTACCCTACCCGCAAAAAATATATTTAACTTTTTAATTTTTTTTAGTAATTATAAGAGTATTTGTGTGGTATAATTTATATTATAATATTGTTATTGTTGTGGATGTTTGAGTTGCGAAAATATAGACTTATTTTTTGTGTAGGTTACATGATCTGTGGTGAACTAGTGAACTATTGGAGCAGTTATGATTTTAATCTGTTTCATATGATTTAAACTTAAAATAATTGTTTGTATTTGTATAACAATTATGATGGATTGATGTTCATGCTTTCTTATATTTTATTGTAATTGTTGTTGTATTTGATTTAGGTTTTAGTGTGATTGATTTATTGTGTTGTTAAATTGATGCATGTTATTTAATTGAATTGTTAAAATGATCCAAAAATTAATAGTTACAAAAATGTTTATCCGATTTCAAAGTTGGATAAGTATACCACACCTGATTGGGTAGGATAGATCAAGAAATTTTTTTTTCGCAAAGTATCAGATAAAAAGATGAAAAACAATATTTCCTACCTATAGGGTAGAGTGAACACCCATACTTTTTGCCTCTCTTTACTACGCTACTTTCATTGCCGACTACCGCCAAAATTTTTACAAATCATTTGAAGGTATGTAGGTAAGTTTATTCCTTTTCATTTTTTATTTTCTCGATTTTTTGTATTTTTTAAAATCTTAATTTTACCCATCTTTCAGACTATATAAATCCTAAGCATACTCATCAAATATTTCTTTGATTTTTTTGAGTTAAACACTATCGATAGTATAATTTCAAACTACTAATTCTTCTTCAAATTTTAAGTCTTCGTTAGCGACAAATTTAAAAAATTTGTCATTTTGTTTCTTAAATCTTCTATTTTTGTTAAAAATTATGTTTTTGTGTTCTTCAAAGTAGGGCCATGTTAAAACATTTTTTTTCTTTATCTAGATTTATAAAAAATGATAAGGGATTAAAATAATCTTAGAATTTTGAGGTGATGTCTTTATCTTATGTAGTGTTGTATACATACTAATTTTTTTTTTTTTTTGAATTATCCATTTGTGGAGAAATATGAAAGTTTTATTTATTTTATCAAATATCATGATTTGAATGATATAAAAAAAAAGAGTTTTGAGATAATAAATTTTTTTTAAAAATATAAAATTAAATATTTGAATTTATCAATTAAAATACTCTATACTAAATCAAGTTTTTTAGTCCCAAAATGGTCTTAGCTAATCTAATCGGAAAGAGGACTGTTTGTACTACCATACGACGTCGTTTTTTACAAGAACCAGTATGATCGATTGATGATATGGGGCAGGTTTACACGTGAATCGTCCCTAAAACTCGACACAAACAACGATGCTAATGACACTGAGGACTCGCTTCTTCAATCTCCATCTCACTTCACTCTTACCTTCTCCATCTCAAAGAACCCCTCCATTTTCTCTCTCTTCCCGAACCTCTCTATCTCATTCAACCTTTAAGAACCCAATTCCTAACCCTCTCTCTTCTCACCATGTCTCAGCTACAAAGACCCCAAAACATCTTCTCTCCGACGCCGCCAAGTTCGTCCGAACCGTCCTATTCGTGCCACCTGGTGTGAACCCAGATGAGGTTACAGACGACATGATGTTACCCGGTTCGAACATCGTGATCGGACCCTTTGTCGGTGACGCCAAAATTAGAGATGTTGAGTTTGTTAAGAGTAGTAATCGTCCCAAGGACTGTCCCAAGGATGACCGGCCAGAGTTTGCGATGCTGGGCCGGTCCAATGTTGGCAAGTCTTCATTGATTAATGCTCTGGTTCGCAAGAAAGAAGTTGCTCTAACCTCCAAAAAACCAGGTTTGGTTTGTTTTTATTTAGTAATTTTGAATTTGATTGTAATTTGCATTGCTTATTGTGGGTTTTTAGGGTTGGATATGCTTGTGGGTTTGTGCAGGGAAGACTCAGCTGATTAATCATTTCCTGGTTAACAAAAGTTGGTACATTGTGGATTTGCCTGGTTATGGGTGAGTCTTAGTTTGTTCAAAATTGCGACCTTTTTATTTCTCTTCATGGTTTAAGAATGTGAGCTTTACAAACTTTTGGGCTTTCAGTTATGGTAATGAATGTATGGTGGTGTGTTGGACTTGGGTTTGTAGCTAATGATGGGTTGCTTCTTATGTTCACTTCGTAGGGTTTTCTGTATACGAATGCATTCAAGTTGTCAATTCAGAAAACAATCAAGTTTTAACCCCGAAAGACAGTTTTTGAAATTAGCGAGGTGTGGATTGTGGGTCTTCAGATTATATGTGATGATTTTCTTTAGGGAACGGATTATTTTTTATCCTTATCACTGCAATAACATGCAATACTCAGTTCACTAGGTCTTGCATCCAGATTTAAAACACTCTTTAGCTGTGGAAATGTGGGGGTATCTACAAGATCAAGTTGATCTTAAATTCGTATCACTAAGTAGAAATAGTCCACTACAGGAATATCACATCAGCAGGCTTTGCATCATCACGTGCTTTAAATTGGAAGCTTCCAGTCTTGTTCATTTAGAGGGTATTGAAGAATATAGCAGAACAAAGCAGAGGCAGTCATAGCAGCTGACAACAAAAGAAAGAAGAAGAATTAGTTAGTTAGTTACAGTCCAGTTAGCAGATTAGTTAGATTAGTTACAGAAGTTTGTTAGATATTTAATTCAGTTTTTTCTTGTATATAAATAGGAGCTGTAATTGACTCTTTCAATTCAATGAGAATGATGCTTTCTCTTCATCCCTATCTCGCTCTCTCTTTCTCTGTGATCTCTGCATTCTTCATTTTCTAACATGGTATCAGAGCTTTTTTAGTAAGCTTCCTCTGTTATTTGCTTCTCCAATGGCATCAAATTCTTCAAATTCATCTATCACAAGTCCACAATCCAATTCCTCAGCTTCGATTGAGGATTTCTCTCATCCTTTTTATCTTCATCATGGAGATAGTCCAGGTGCCCTTTTAGTCTCTCAAGCTTTGATAGGAGACAATTATAATTCTGGAGTCGATCAATGTTTATGGCCTTGAGTGCTAAGAACAAAGTTGGATTCATTGATGACACATCGTCCAAGCCAATAGATCCAAAGGATCCTTTGTATAATCCATGGATTAGAGGCAACAATATGATGATATCTTGGATTCTCAACACATTGTCAAAGGAGATCGCTAGAAGTGTTCTTTATGTCAATTCTGCACAAAAAATCTGGAAAGAACTCAAGGAAAGGTTCTCTTAGACTAATGGACCAAGGATCTATCAGTTGCAGAAATTGATTTCCTCTCTTCAACAAGAACAACTCTGTGTAAGTTCTATTATACTCAGCTCAAAGGCTTTTGGAATGAATTAATGAACTACAGACCCTTACCAGTCTGTACATGTGGTGCTCTAAAAACCTTGGCAGATATTCAACAGCAAGATTACATAATTTAATTCTTGATGGGATTGGATGGTTTATACTCTCACATCCGAAGTCTGATCTTGCTTCAAGATCCTCTTCCATCTATCAACAAAGTGTTTTCTCTCATTCTTCAAAAGGAACGTCAAAGAAATATAGTCTTCTCAAGTCTTCCTATTGTAGATTCTACAGCTCTCTTGAGCAAATCCAATTTATCTAATCAACAGAATTTTGGCAAATCAAACTCCAACAAATCTAGACCTATTTTTACTCATTGTGGAATTCAAAGTCACACTATTGATAAATGTTACAAACACCATGGCTATCCTCCTGGATTTCGATTTACAAAACGAAAAACAATTCCAGATTTGTGAATCAGGTGACAGGAAACATTCAGAATGAAACAGAAAATTTGGTTATAAATGAAGGCAGCAGAGAGGTTTCTTCATCTTTGCCAATAACACAAGGGCAAATTCAACAATTATTAACTCTCCTTAAGTCATAGCCTCGTCTTCATGATCCACTCTCAGCAAATCAAGTAACCAGTTCTCATACTGATTCTCCTTTCAACATGTCAGGTGAAGTTCTAAATACTTTGCATTCTTCGAGTCACAATTCTTCTTATTTTTCTTCATTCCCATGGATAATTGACACTGGAGCAACAGATCATATTGTTTGCTCTATGTCCTCTTTATCCACCGTTTCTTCTGTTATACACACCTCTGTCAAGTTGCCTAATGGAGGTTTTGTTGTTGTAACTTGTTAAGTTTGGAAGATTAACATAATAATATTAGAGACAATATTTTTGGGAGAAACAGAGAGAGGTTAAAAACTTAACCTAGCCCTTATATTTCACTTGTATTTATAGGTAACTCATAATTATAAGAATTATACATACACACCCTCTTGTATTTACACATAATACCCTAACACTATTAACAATTTATATATACTACCCTAATACTCTTAACACTCCTCCTCAAGCTGGATTATAAATATCATATAATCCAAGCTTGGAACAAATCTCTGTAAGACGTATATGACTCAATGCTTTGGTAAACATATTTGTAAGCTGATCTTTAGATTTCACAAATGGAGTCGTAATTTCTCCAGCTACTATCTTGTCCCAAATAAAGTAACAATCAACCTCAATATGTTTGGTTCTCTCGTTAAACACCGGATTGACAACGATATGGATAGCTGTCTGGTTGTCACAGAACAACTGTAAAGAAAGTTGAACTGGAAATCCAATTTCCTGAAGAAAGTGTAGCAGCCACGTCAACTCACTCGTCGTATGCGTCATTGCCCTATATTTAGCCTCAGCACTAGATCTTGCTACCACAGATTATTTTTTACTTTTTCATAAGACAACGTTACTTCCTAAGAAAGTACAATAACCAGTGGTTGATCTCCGATTAGAACGAGAGCCAGCCCAATCAGCATCTGAGAAACCTTCCACTCTAAGATGTCCATTAGCTCGATATAACAGTCCAAGTCCAGGAGTTCATTTAAGATATTGTAGAATACGAGTGACCGCCTCTCAATGAGGTACTCTAGGACACCCCATGAACTGACTTACTATACTGCTGCATAGAAAATTTTTAGTCGAGTAATAGTGAGACAATTAAGCTTCCCAACCAATCTGCGATACCGACCCGGATTCTCAAACAGTGCACCATCATCCATTAGTAGTTTTTGATTCGGATCCATAGGCACATCAATCGGTCTTCCTCCCAACAAACCTACTTCCTCTAGCATATCAAGTATATATTTTCTCTGTGATAAACAAATACCCTGTTTAGATCGAGCCATTTCAATCCCAAGAAATATCTGAGTTTTTTCAAATCCTTAGTATGGAATCGATCCTGTAAGAAGATTTTTAACTTGGCAATCCCATCAAAATTATTTTTAGTAATTACAATATCATTTACATAGACCACCAATAGAACATATCCAGCATCCGTCTGTCTATGAAACACAGAATGATCTGTCTGACATCGAAGAAGACTAAACTCTAAAACAACATCTAAAAACTTACCAAACCATGCCCTCGGTGACTGCTTCAAATTATACAAAGATTTCTTTAACTGACATACATTCTTACCATACTCCCCCTGAGTAGTAAACGCAGGTGGCTGCTCCATGTTAACCTCTTCAACCAAGTCACCATGTAGGAAGACATTCTTGACGTCTAACTGAAATAAGGGCCAATCAAGATTAGCAGCCAAAGAAATCAAGATACGAATAGAGGAAATTTTGGCAACAAGAGAGAAAGTCTCCTCATAATCAACACTATGGGTCTGAGTAAAGCCATTTGCAACAAGCCGAGCTTTGAGACGCTCCATAGAACCATCCGGATGAAATTTAACAGTATACACCCAACGACAATCAACAGTTCGTTTATCAGGGGGTAAAGGAACAAGATCTCAAATCCCATTATGATGTAAGGCATCCATCTTATCCTCCATAGCTTTCTTCCAACCCGGATCAGATAATGCATCTTGTAAATGCTTAAGGATAGATATAATAGATAATTGAGAGGTAAAACAAGAGAAGACAGGAGATAAGACATCATATGAAACAAAATGAGCAATGGGATAATTAGTAACACACGAACGTGTACCTTTTCGAAGAGCAATAGGTAAAGAGTCTAAATTACCTGATGAACCAGGATCAGAAGGCGGCAAGGAAGACGGTACGGACACCTCAGTCGATGGTTGAGGACGACGAGAGTATACACGAAGAGGTAAAGTAGACGGTAATACAGTGGGCAATGGAATATCTGAAGATGATGGTGGTACAAGAGGTGACCCAAAGTTTAGATCCAAGGGTTAAGAAGGTGCTGAAAAATATGGAACAAATTCCTCAAATGTAACATCGGCACTAGTAAAGTATCGTCACAGAGTAGGACTGTAACAACGATATCCTTTCTGTGTGCGGGAATAACCAAGAAATACACATTTAGTAGCGCGAGGATCAAGTTTATCAAACTCAGGACCCAAATTATGAACATAACAGACACATCCAAAAATCTTAGGAGATAGGAAAAATAAGGGTTTATCAGGAAAAAGGACAGAATATGAACTTTGTCCATTTAACACAGAGGATGACATATGATTAATAAGGTGACAAGCAGTAAGAACAACATCACTCCAAAAATATCGAGGAATATTCATCTGAAATAACAGAGCATGGGTGACTTCCAACAAATGATGGTTCTTGCGTTCAACAACATCGTTCTGTGGAGATGTGTAAGCACAGGAAGTCTGATGAATAATGTCAGTTTTACTAAGATAAGTTGAAAAAGAATCAGATTCATATTCTCGAGCATTATCAGAACGTAAAATACGTATACGACATCCATATTGAGTTTTTATTTCCTTACGAAAGGTTTCAAATATAGAAAATAATTCAGACCGAGCTTTCATAAAAAATAACCAAGTCACACGAGAATAGTCATCCACAAAAGACACAAAATAAAGATATTTATTAGATGAAATATTATTTATTGGACCCCATACATCAGAATGTATTAACTCAAATGGACTAGACATACAATTATTGACTCTAAACTGGAATGACACACGGTGATACTTACTAAGT